AGATATTTTAAGTTAAAATGCATCTATAATATAAATTAAACTGATATGAACAATGATAATTTTATTATATTTTTAATTTTTTTAGGGTCTGTAATATTTTAAAATATTATTAATATATTGAAAATATTTAAATTAAAACTGTTTCTAACTCAAGAATTTTATATTACGTTAAAATTGGTTTTTAATTATGTACTTAAGCGTGGTATTTATCTCACCTAGTGCCTCGGCGTCCTTTTGAAAATGCATTTCGAAGTCCTTTGACATCACAACGAATTTTTTCCACGATTCCACTACAGTTTTCTGCAGCTTCAGCCCGAGATTTTATGCGATCTGCAACTGATGATTTGCAAATAGTATTTATTAATACGTCACACATGTTACAGAAAATCCAATTAATATTACGTACCAATTTTATTTGCGTTCCTTGCTTCCATCAAACGCTTTCTACCGAGTGTTTGAAGAATATCTTGTGCTTCGGGGTAGTCTTTCATGGCGGCAAGAACATCTTCACGAGATAAACTGAATAATTCTGAATATCCAACTGATCGTACATCAGCAGTTCTCCTAAGAATTACATTTAATAACAAGTTCGATTTATATTATTTAATAGGTTGTTTACTACATATCATCAATCAAATTAAAGATTATAATTTCGACTCAGTGGCGTGGCGAGGTAAAAGTTACATGTGGGCGAAGTAGACTTAAAGAGGCCCTTTTAAAAATTTTTTTAACTTCTGTCATATTTCTCTATGGTTAATTATAAAACCCTATAGAACGCGAGGCCCTTTGAGGTATGAGGCCGTGGGCAATGGCCCACACCGCCCACGCCTAGCGCCGCCACTTATTTCGTGTTATGTAGATTTAATATTCTAGTCTATATCTTGGTAAATAAACAATAAAAATAAATATGTGTATTGTGTACATTTTGAATGTGGATATAGTATTGTTAATAAATATAATATAAAACATACTTATTAAATCCATCCAAGTTGAGTATTCCTATTTCTCCAAAGAAATCGCCAGCTTTCATTATCGTCAAAACATGTCCGGTTTCACTACTGTATAAAATATAGCAAAACAAATCACAATCAAAATTAATTGGATTTTTAAGACATCTTTTTTTTTTAAGTATCATATAAGTACGCGTTGAGTCGTTGAGTGTAAGTATGTTACCTAATAACTTCTAAAATTCCGTCTGCTATGATAAACATCTCTCTGGCTACCTCTCCTTTCCGACATATTAAATCCCCRGGTGTAAATATGTAAGCTTTCATTTTGAGAACTAAATCATGTAGGAATTCGGGTTGGCATTCTTGAAATATTGTAACCTAAATGAGATTACCAATAATAATGTAAATATAATGTATTTTTCAGTGTTCATWTTATATTATTATGATTGAGTTGGAAATTACTTTTTTCAAAACCGCCAGATTGACGTGCAACGCCAGTTCGGTTTTCAATTTGTCCGGAAGAAGACCCAGTGCCGTATTTATATCGCCGCCTCCTTGAATACGTCCCCTTCAACAAACCGGCAACATGCACAAAAAAACATGTTTTTAGTCTTATCGCGCACGCATGTGTGAGACAAGAAATAGGAATTAATCAATCATYCGATTTTGACGTATCCGCACGCGTGCCAATGTATATGCCATTTTGGATTTCGAATAAAACTTTCAAAGGAYATTATATGGCTCGGTTGAATGAATGTATTATGTTACACATGACAACGCGCCAAGCCGACGAGACTTTATATATTTATTATTTATACAATATAATACATATATGTGATGAGTATATAGAATTTCAGAACCTCCCTTCTAATTCAATTAGTTAAGTACACAACAAACAATATTCACCTGGACCACGAGTAGTCGTACCATCTGAGCACTCTTTTTTTCATGCCACTAGGCACTTTATGATGTCGCATATACAGCTTGGCACCGTCCAACAGCCGTTCAAACTCTAATCGGTTTGCGTTTCTGTTCGTTATCACGTTGCCCACCTGCCCTGGAAAATATAAAGATATCAATTTAAACACCTTTGGGTACAACTGCGCCGCATTATCTATATACACCGCCCAAACTTGTGCGCACAACATACCGACGATGGTGGCGAATATGAAGACTCCGATCAAGTAGCTGACGATGGTGAAAACATACCTAAACGTAAAAATAAATAAAAATAAATACTCCTAATGAGAGTACAGCACGTGTTTTAGGTCTATTCGAAGACGCAAAAACTTAAAAGTTACACCTATACGTTTCGAAAACTAAAATTCATTTAGTATCACTTGATAGTGGTATTGAAAAATACAATATGATACATAATGTATAAACGGTGTATACTGTATATTTAGAAACTCACTCAGCGTTGGTTTCTGGTGTGGGTAGATCGCCGATGGTGGTCAGCGTCAGAGTTGACCAGTACAACGATCCCAAATATTTTCTWGTCAACGTCGCATAGTCACCCGGCTTGTACGGGTACACCCAATCGCCTTTGAATCCTTCCGCTTCGGACAACAGATAATAGAAACACCCGAACCAATGGGCCAATATCAATAGAATGTGAATCAGGTTGATAACTCTCCAAAAGTTTGGGTAGACCGTCCTCGATTCTACCATGTAGTAATAGTCGTATACCCTATACACCTGAAATAAATCATATTACGATTTAGTTTTCCATCGCAGTTTTTTTAATATTATAAGTTATAACAATGGCAACACGTATAATTCGATTACTACATTATTATTATTATAGCTACCTATTATACAATATATTTGTATACTGCAATCGTATACAACATGAAAATCGTTATTTGATTTTACGTTTCGCAGAGGGTAGTGTGAAAAGCTTTTGGCCTAACAATGAGTGGTTTTTAAACATTTGTAGGATATTCAAATGTTAACAAAACACCAAACATTTTACACGGCGCATGGAAATTACGCAGTCGAATGGAAAATTAATGTAGATTGTACAGTAAGTACATAATATAACAATGCGAAATATCAATTATTTTCCCAAATACATACGGCACATAGACACTTAAAAAACATTTTCACTCAGAATCGTTCTAAAATTAGATGACAATAGCTTATAAATGTAAAATGACAATAAACCATTTCAAGTAGTCAACACAAAACAGAGGACTTTCGATGCATTATATATTTATTTTTTGTCATTTATAACATTGTGCAAAGTTTATCCATTTTTTTCTTATAAAATTTGAATACCTTGTCAAATTGAAACGCAATACCAATACATTGTACCTACACTAAAAGTAAAAAGTAACAGTATATAATTTTAGCGTAAATATGTTTATTTTGTATAGTAAATTTAACTTTGAAAGCCTAACAAATTCAGTGGGTACCTATATGGGTAGTCTAGTAGTTAATACTTCAAGTTTCACCCTATAAATTAACATTATCAAACATCGATCTTATAACTTAGCGTTTAATATAACAACATTGTACTATCTATTATCTTCTAAAACAAACTTAGCAATATTATACAGCTTCATTGCTTCAATATAACATTATTATAATACTACCCATCAGCATGGATTAATATGGGTTTACTTCTATACACCTGCAATAGTTAAATTAATTAAATTATTTTTAGTGAAAAACAAATTTTGACATAGGTAAGAACATAATAATAATGATAAAAAAAAAAATTAATTAAATAATAAATGCAGAAAGAACATTTAAAAAAAAAAAGTCGAAAGCTAATTTTTATAATATGTCTAATAGTGACTAGGGCTGTACTCAGGCAATAATATACTATGACATAGGTAAGGCATACGCGTCCATAAATTTCTAGTTTTTAAAAAATATTTTCTTCAATACTTAGACATAAATAATATTATGAATTTATCGTATTTACTATGTTAAAATTAATAACACTAAAACATATTGTATGAATAACAGATGACAAAAACTGGCTGCTTATAGTGAAGAATACACTTCATAGTAAAATGTAAATATACGGAAGTACAGAACATGGAAGATTTAATTAGGTGCATTACCACAAAAACAAACAATTCGTAACTGATGTAAAAACACAAATAGTAGATTAATTGTTATAATATTATATAAAACTGATAAATTGTTGCATTTAAATAGGGATTCTGACCAAGGTTTTCGCATAAAARTAGTCGATATTTCGTTATAAATCGCGATAATTTATTCCTTTCCTTTGTTTTTTACATAAAAATCACATCTCTAAAGACTTGAGCAGAGCCGCATTTAACGGGGGGCAAGGAGGGGCAACTGCCCAGGGGTGGCAAATTTTATGGTGTTTGATAGGGCGGAAAATTTTTAAAGATCAACATAAAATAAAAAATTAAGGGTAGCATATTTAAATTTGCCCCGGGGCGGCAACATAGCTTAACGCGGCACTGGACTTGAGTAAGCACCATTTATGCCCAATACTAGTGTTAATTTTCTATAAATTTAGGTTACATTTTCAATGGTTTTAATCAGTTGAAATAAAATTAAAATTCATTCTATAGTCAATTAGCGCACGAACTGCATTTCGAAGTAAAGATATTCATCATTTTTGGGACATTGGTAATAATTGCATACTATAATCGCTTCTGCATACCGTAATATTAACTTAATGTTACGAATCAAAATCGATGTTGTGCAGAGTTATTATCATTTATGATAACTGCTAATAGTGTAGTATTATGTTATATTATTATCGGCACATTTTGAATATTGATCTACATCTCTCGCGAATTCTGATTTGTGACGCGTCGCGCCGCTGACGCTCGACGCTCGTATAGTCAATATGACAATATACGCACTCAGATTTAAATTATGTGGGTTTAAGATTTTTGCGTGACGCGACRCTCAACGCTCTCCATCCAATGTATGCGCGGCCGTAGACATGCACGATATTTTGTGGGAGCGTGTAACCAATAACAATAATATTGTTGAATAATAGTTATGATATATTATTCATTGCAGTCAGCCACGATTCACGTATCAGTAAAGAATGATTGAAAATTAAAAGTTAAAGTTAAATAAGTTTACCTACTTAAGATAATTTAATTCTATTATTATACGTTCATAACACACGGACATAATCACTGATTAGTGATTATMAATTATTTTGAAAACATTATAAATATCATTATTATTATTATTTTTATTAAATAATACATTATATAATACAAGTCGTAATACCGATATTGGTACGAGCTATAAAAGTTAAAATAATATAATACAAATATGTCAAACTCGCATCACTGTAAAACACATATTCCAAGAATKCCACACATATGAACCAGTACGCACGTTTCTCAACTTCCCGMACAATATCAAAGAAATCCTCGACGAAAGACAAAYCCTAAACATCATCAAGTTCATAACTATATGTCCTCATCAACAAATTCTGACTTAGCCAATCTACCGTGTAAGTACAATTAATAATTGAACTGTAAATATATAATTTTTTTTTTCTTATATCTTTTCTTTTCTTCTCAATTGTATACATAATTGAATATCAAATCTGATTTTATTTTTAAAAAAAAATGTTGGCTAATAACTGTAGCAGTGGAAGCCTGTAATCTTT